AAAATTAAAAGTTAGTTGACACTACCTTCTAAAATTAATGATTTTTATTCCAGGTTGGACATTTTTGGACCCAGCGAAGAGCCAGTGACGTTGCTAAACAAGATTGGCTATCGAGGACGTTACGGGTTTTTTTCTATTTCACTTTACCGCATCTAGGACTTCTGCTATGCACAAACGGTTCTTCGTTTGATGAGCATCTTCAGTTTCTCAGGCACATCTAAGTTGGTAGTGCACCATAGTACTAATGTCCCACAGGTTAATCGTAACTCAAAAGACAAACAGCCATTAATTTTGGGTGCGAAAATCAAATTGACCAGAAGTAGCAAATTTTTTGTTCTGGTTTACTATGCTTCGTTGAAATAAGATGATATCATCTTGTACTGCTAATTCATCACGCGCGATATCCACAAGGTTATAGAAAGTTGCGTGAACACTGTTGGTTTAAAGTTACTGTCTCTATACTTTCCACAGTAAGCGATTAACTTATTAATCGAATTTCAGTAGCTGACCGGTAAATCTGCGCAAGCGAATAACTGGTGGGCATTAGAAACATGACGCAGAGTTATGGCGAGCGCTACCATATCGGCTAGTATATTTTTGTAGGTTTCTGACGCCTTTGCGTATCTAGGGCAAATTCAGTACTTAATTTGCCTGAAGTAGGTCTGGGCAGCGCCATTTTGCAAAGACCGACAGAAAACATGAGGAACTGTGCGAAAGTTTTGTAAAACACACTCTATATTTAGATTAAAAGGCTAAATTAGACATCACCTTCGTCCCTATAACGTGCGGGATACCAAAAGGAAAAGTATACTTTTCGCAAGCACACGAAGATCAACAGCGGCAAGTGCACACGTGGAATAAATAAAGCCGCGTTTGGTCGCGCAATTCAATGTTGTGAATATACCTTCTGTGCTCGGCATCATGATGGACCCTGTTCGGGGCCTTACAGATGGACAGACCACATACAAGGGATACGCGAGCTACAGTTGTTTACCATGGACGCATTAATACTTAGAACCGGCCACCGCGCTAGAGTGAATCCTGTCAGACTGTAGACCTCTAAGGACGCCAAGGGAACCACAGTAAAATTATAGGTTGTGTCGGTTTCGTCGAACGTCGAAATATCAAACAGCGCAGCATAATCTCACAGTTGCCTTCTCGGCGAATCTCATAAATCGATTTTAATCCGACGGTAATATTCTTACCCTGATTTTAGTCATAAATTACGTGTACCAGTGGACGGAGTAATGGGTCAACCCTATGAGCAACAGTCTTAGT